AACCTAAATCTAGAAACCAAAGATCGTTGCTAGAAACCTATGCTAGAAACGCTTCAAGCACCTAGTCCGACCCGATACCTTCCGATACATACGATCGCAGTGGATTGACAAATGGCGCGAAATACATCAATCTGCACCAACAAAGGCATTATTCTGAATATTTCGCTTGTAGTCTAAATATTAATATATAATGGAAGAGTCAACGGATATCGCGGATACTGTAACACCTGTGGAGGAAGTAACAGCCACTGTAAGTATTGTTACATGTTAAAATAAGAACAAATTCAAATCAAATGAAAAATGTTCCGTACTTACTAAATGCTCATAGCCGGCATAGGGTCTATATGTCCCCACAGGTACTGCCGGAACGTACCTGGGTACGGTCCGGTAATACCGGAACTGTATCCCTGGGTACGGTCCGGTATACCGGAACGTACCCTGGTCACTATTTGGTATGGATAGGGTTAGGATTAGGGTTAGGGTTAGTGTAGGATGTAGCCAACGAAACGAAGTGTAAACTCGGTCACCACCAGAATCGTCTCTTCTTTGTTTATTAGTGGCCACCCACCAAACGTGGTTGGGGACAACTGACGCACAAGCGATGAGCGTTATTTTTAACAATTAACGATACGCGGCTGACAGCCGCCAATGCGTGCGCGGCCGTTCGACTACAGCCACGACAACGCGACAGAATAACGTATAGCGTGCCGCCGATACAAACTGCGCCAATAGTGTGCGATTCAACTGAAACAATACATCCAAAAAAGGACTTTACTAAATTACTAGTACAATTCTAGTCCTCAACAATATATCCTGAAGCGAAAGTTCTAAACTGCAGAAAACGCGTAACCTATTAACTGAACTGCCCCAAACCTTAAAACACAATCAAACATCACGGAAAATATAACTGCGAACATTCGAGAATTTCCTCTCAAACCCCGAACCGGCGAAAATTGAAAAACTTAAAACGAAAACAAGGACGACTATATAGCTACCAATGTGGTATGATTCACATTCAGCTAAATCCAACAATTATACATTTCAGTGTTTTTAAGATTATGAAGCAACCTATCTAGTACTCACCAAGATTTGACACCTTTAAGCCATCCCAGGCTTTACATCACTACAGATCCACATACATATATAGAAAAGGCTGCTATAAGCTGGGTTTTATAATAATACATGCGGAAATAATACGCCTCTATTCATGTAAACAGAAATGTTCACCTATATATGCAAACAATGAAGATGTAATAATGACAAAAGGCGATATGTTCGAAAATAATGTCAGCGCATGAAACACCAAAAATGGTAACTCGCTTCTCTAGAGGAAAACCAAGCGCGCCGACCAGCAAACGAACAATTACGACCATTTCTATGAAATGTCTACCTACGTGCGTAGTGAAAAGGCTTGTGGAATCGCCACAACTGCTGAATTGAGCGATTATACGGTCCATGAGGTCATTCTACACATACAGCCTTCATTCAGTTAACGGATGACATTGCCAATGAAGCAGATAAACGGTATTTCACTGGGATGCTAGTTTTACATATAGAAAAAGCATCGCATACAGTTGACCTCTCTATGTTACTATCCAAACTAAAAGCAATTGGTATAGGGTCGTGAAATGCTTGCAGGCCTATCTGTGCAGAAGAAGCGAGATGACACATGTGCGATGCCGTCTCATCTGGAGTTGCTATATCTAATATATATATGTCAACGATATTGCAGCCACTGTAAAAAATAAGCTGTTATTGTATGGTGATGACTGCTGTAGCTGGGGGCATGGCATGGGCGCTGTTAGCAACACAAAGTCACATTGACATTGACCAGGAGAAATTCAAATTGTATGCAGACCTACGAATACTTCTATTACTTACTATTAGTATTACTACAAGTACATGTTACAATAATTAGTAGTAGTAGTAGTACTACTATTAGTACTAGCACTACTGCCACTACTCACTAGTACTAGCACTAGTCACTAGTACTAGACTACTAGCTTCAAGAAACGGTATTGCTAGGGTTAGAATACCCTTTATTGACGTTAGTCACACAGCCTGGTCGGGTTACTAGACTAAGTACTAGTACTAGACTAAGTTACTACTATAGTACTAGAGCTACTAGTACTACTACTAATACTATATAGTATAGTACTAGAGCTAGTACTACAAATACGCTAGCTCGCCAACAGGAACCTGGTAATATGCAAGCCGCGTTAGAATGCACCTGCCTGTAACACAATTTGTGTAGTAGTAGCAGTAACAGTAAACAACACCGACGTCCGCTACTACTGAGTACTGGAGTGGTAGACCGTTTGCGACTGTCCACCGTTGCGTGCGTACGAACTTCGACTGAGAAACGTTAATTCTGCCTGCCTTTTCACTCTTCCACATCGTTCAACATACCTCTACAGCTTCTACTGCACTCACAACACAGTGGCACTTGATATATGCCACTGGACATGCAATATCTGATGGCATATCGTATGAATCGAACCCAGTAACTATATTGCTCTATGCTTATGCCTAGCTCTATGCTATATCTGGTTCAGATGCCTGTATACTTATCGTTCGTCATCCACGGAAAAATAACCAGACATCATTCCTGGTCTCATCACTGGATAACAGCACTCCACCGGTCTATCATCGATTCCACAGCCTAGACTGCCCCGTACGAACCTTTACTCCACCAAGCTTACTCCTTGCACTACACTGAATCTCTTATAGTTAGCTTGGCAGCTCGCTGTGCACCTGGCAGCAGCATCTGAGCATCAACCGCGTTAAGAAAAACACTGCCGTTGAAACTGCTCAGGAACATGGCCTCGTCGGCCCGCCATCTGATGGCGATGCGCATATGTTCGAGAAATAATGTCACGTCTGATCGACCACCACCACAAAAATCCCGGTAAACTCGCTTCTCTTACAGGAAAAACGCACAAGTTGCGCCGACCAGCAACGAACATTACGAGCATTTCTACTGAAATGTCTACCTACGTGTGTAGCGGAAAAGGCTGTGGCAATCGCCACACAACTGCTAGAATGATCAGATTATACGACTTTTAGTCTATACCGGAACAGAAGGGACCTGGGTAAGCTAATTGGAGTTCGGGGGCAGCGAAGATTGTTAGAATCGCGCCAGGCGCGCCGGCGTTTCGGGCTTCCGCGCGACATATCCGGCTCGCAGATCGGTCTAGAAACCCAATAAGCCTGGATAGCCCAATGCGCTACAGCACAGGCCGTCACGGCTCAAAGGTCGTTCGGATCGAATCCTTCATCCTGGATTTTTTTATTATTTACCTGTTTTTCTTGTATTCCCCCTACCCTCCACCAAGACTTCACGTACGCTTCACCTTACTACACTATCCCATTCTATCTTATTTCTATTTAACTATTTTTTTCCAATTAACGCAAATATTTACATGATTTATTACAACAATTTAATAACAACAAATTTTTTTATTAGGCGTTAGGCGTTAGAGGGGGGGCGTGCACAATGCCCCATAAAACAAGAGTTTCAGGCACTTGCGATTCTGTATCAATTACAATGGGATTTGGGCCAGTATGCAAGAATGCCCAGAAAGCCGTTGGTCCATGAACATGATTGTGACGCCAACTGCGTATCTGCATATCTGCACCTAACAAAGGTGTCACTACGCACGACTTAAATGTTACGTTTAAATAACCGTAGCAACAGACCTCGAATGAGCCCAGACGCTCTGCGGCTCTTGTTATCACTTTATTGAAAGGACCATGAAATGTGCTTTCCGCTGACTGGCGAAGAGTAAGCGTCTGATAACCTTTTGATCCTCAAGAGGAGGGGTAAACACGGATTTGTTGACTGTTAGCAAAGGACTGAACTGCTTTTGCTATTAGAGCCCCTTCCACCCACCCCTTCGGGTATAATAAACAGGGAGTTGCTCCCATTTATATTGCAATGGAGTGGAAGTTAATGAAGGAATGAATTTCAATGTAATGTTGACACTTTATAACTTCGCTTCCTGTTGTAACTCTTTTGTTACACCAGAGTGTATGTGTGATATAATTTCTCTGTCTGTGAAATTAACACACACTACACTGTAATCTCGCCACTCACTAAATGTTTGATGACAT